GGCCAACAGATATATGAAAAGATGCTCAGCTTCACTAGCTATCAGGGAAATGCAAATCAAAACTATATTGAAACACCACCTCACACCTGTTAGAATGGCTGTTATCAACAAGACAGGTAGTAACAAGTGTTGGAGAGGTTGTGGAGAAAAAGGAACCCTCATTCACTGCTGGTGGGAATGTAAACTGGTAGAGCCACTACGGAAAACAGCATGGAGATTCCTCAAAAAAAAACAGAATTACCATGTGACCAGCAATCTCCTAGGCATCTACCTGAAAAATTTGAAGTCATTTATTCACAAAGATATATGCAACCCTATGTTCACTGCAGCATTACTCACAGTGGCCAAGGCATGGAAACAACCAAAGTGTCCTGTGATGGAGGACTGGATAGAGGTGTGGTACATCTATACTATGGAATACTACTCAGCATAGGAAAAGATGAAATACTGCCATTTGTGACAACATGGATGGACCTTGAGAATACTATGCTAAGTGATATAAGTCAATCAGAAAAAGCTGAGAATCAAATGATTTCACTCATATGTGGAATAGAAAACTGAAACTTACACAGACAACAGTGTGGTGGTTACCAGAGGGAAGGGTGCTGGGGGATAGTATAGGGTAACGGGGGCCAAATATAAGGTGACGAAAGACATTTGTCTTTGGGTGGTGGGCACACGGTGCCATATACAGGTCATGTATCGTGGAAATGTACCCTTGAAAGCTATATAATCTTATTAACAATCATTTTAATTTAAAAAATAAATACAAGAAATTGGAGGGGTGGAAAAAAGCAAACTACAGTGGGGCCTTGACTTACGAGTGTCCCGACTAACGAGTTTTTTGGGATACCGGCTGTCTCTCGGCCGATTTTTTGCATTGAGTTGATAGAGTAATTTGAGTTAACGAGCTCCTTAACGAGCTCGGTCTTGGAACGAATTAAACTCGTAAGTCAAGGCCCCACTGTATTCTTTTCACACAGTAAAAAGGGACTGACCTGCTCAGCTGCTTCTCTCTTGGCATTGTACGTATCCAGGTGTTCTTGCAACTCCAAGACACTGAACTTGAGTGTTTCTAGCAAATCACACGACACCAGCTGTCAAATCAAAAACATTGATCCAGGTTACCATTTCTGGTCATGGTCACGAGACCGGCAACTTCTGGGTCATGGAATGTCTGTTGGCTGGTCTGTGGCCCAACGTGGTGCCAGTTCCCGTCCTGCACTCGGCCCCATCCTCAGGGCTGACCTTTCACCAGAACCGAGGCAGCATCAGTGGGATTCCCAGGATGTCAGCAGGACCAGCAGGCCTTCGAACGCTGTCAAACGCTGGCTCGGGCAAGAATGGCATGTCAGACCAGTATTTGCCTTGAAAGCAACACCTCTGGAGCTTCTTAAACCTTAGTTTCCTTAAATATCTTAATGCATCATGTCCAACTATGCTGGGAAACAGGGTGGGAAGACCAAGGAGCCCTGTTCTTAACGGGGGAGGTCTAACCATCCCCTCCCCGCTTTTATTCAGGAATCATGAAAAAAGTGGACATCTCTACAGCATGACGTGTTAGCTTCCTTATCTAGAACTCTGGAGGGTGCGGGCAGGGAGGGGCCAGAATGAGAAACAGCCACAGGTCACCGCATCTAATACACTGGAATTGTATTTTGCTATGTATTTATAAGCAAGTTGGAAAATATGGACTTTTACACTTCAAAATTCTGAATTAGCCTATTTATTGAATGATACCATTCAAATGTAGTCTTTATCATGAGCCCTCATGTAAAAACTTACTGTTTCCGCATCCACAAAGACTGTTGGGCATTCCGAACACATCATCATCACTTCCAACGAACTTTTAAATTTGGTGCCAATACGCTGCAGACTCTCACCAAGAAAGCTGACTGCCTCGTTCGTTATGTCTCCAAACTTCCTTTGAATTGTCTATGGAGAAAAGCATATGAAAAAGTTTAATATTTCCTAAGAAGGCCTCTTTTCATCTTTAAGTAAAGAAGCCTAATTTATTAATTAGGGCAATGTTTTCTTTTGAAATTATTGTAGCAACATACAGAATTCTAATAACTGATCTGTAAATCCATGTTTTTAGGCACCACTTTAGGAAAAGCTTCTAAAAAGATCAAATATTAATGAAACAGTTTTACTGAAAAAAGAAAACTAGTGACACGTGTCATGCACTCCCCCATTCTGGAGATATTTTTTTATGGAGAGAGATATTAGAAGTACATGCTACACACCCTTGGAAATAAAGTCCTCACATATCTGAGGAATCATGCTTCTAAAGTTTAGTTCTACCTGCAAAAAAATTTTTTGTAAATGTAATTTACTATCCTTGGCTATGGGCTGCTACCTGACATTAATGATCAAAGTCAGAAAAATGCATTAAGAGTAACGTCTTCTCAAAACTCAAGAATCGTTATCCACATAAAACAATCAGATAATGTCTGAACCATAGTGAGCACTCAGTGAACTAGACTATATTACTCTTAGTCTAATAATTATTCAGATGGTGTGTACCTACATGTGTCTGTGTAGCACTCTTAGGTGTCATTATGAATATTTTTTAGAAAAGGCCTAAGCTACTATTGCAGGCATCAAGAAACTCAGAATAACAAAGGAAAGAAAAGAACATAAGCAGAAAATCAACTAGCAATGCAAAAGTACAGAGTTAAGTCCGTGGTCCCGTTAGTGAGCACTGAGGAACTTCCAGGAGGGAGAGACTGAGGTTGGAATGGTTGGGAAAGCTCCAACAGTAAATGTATTTGGCAGGCTCTTCCAAGATGAGCAAAATTGGCTCAGCGAGGGAGGAAGCGTGGTAGGTAGTTCAGAGAACAGCGACTTCAATGGTGGCACTGCTCTGTGCCTTAGTTTCCCTAGCTACGGAATGCTAAAAATATTTACATTCCATAGGTCTGTTGTAAGAATGAAATACTTGATGTAGAGAATTAGCAAGGTGCCTAGCATGTAGTGAGTGCTCAATAAATGTTGACCCATTATTGTATTATTATTATTTTTTAGGATTAGAAGCAATCTTAGTTAACCCCTAGAGTGCCAGGGAGCGCGATTGCGTTCCTCCTGTCTTTTGCCAAAAGTGCTGGGAGCGCTATCGCGCTCCTCCTGCAGTGTCACTATTAGATGCTAGTAGTTCACTCTTTATTGATAGATGGCACCTAAGCGCAGAAAACAAATGTAGTAAAGGTTTCCTTAAGTTTTTGAATATGTAACTTCATTAACTGCGATTCATAATTTTTTCCTAAACTGCTGAAAATCAGCAAAATGCTTG